TACAAAAAAAATTGATTCCACTTTTGTTGACCTAAATCTTCCATTATAAATAGAGAACACATTCAGACCAAGGGACACACGAGAATTGCCTCAAGAACACCCTCTCAAAAAATCTCATTTTTTGTCAAAACTAGGGCAAAGTCAAAACAAAAGATCCAACAACTTTAAGTCCAAGCCATCCACTGCAAATCATTTCTGAGGTATTTAAGAGTAAGAATAGGTCGAAAGTCATTGCCATTGAGGCTTGAAACAAGCATACTCATCTTCTCTAATTTCCTTTTCTTTCAAACATTCATATAATTAATTTCATGCATTGCTAATATTTATTAACTGCCCAAATGAGTTCTTGTTGTTACTTAGAACAGGTTTGAATCATAAACAGAAGCTCTAACGTGAGAATCATGGTTTGCCATGGCTAAGGAAGTTTGAGATGTCTTATTCGAAACTCATGATACAAGTGTTTTTAGGCCAAACAAACACCACAATTGGATTCACAAGGTCGAATTAGGGGGATATAGTCCTTTTTATTGTCTAACACGTGTTATTTTGCAGGTTTGAAAATCCTCTCACCGGAGAAGGCGACCGGAGCTAGGGCTCCGATGCTTCCCTGGTTCACTTGCTTTATTATATATATTTTTTCTTATATTTTAATAACAAAAATGAAGCGCAACAAAGTTGGTTGAGACGGAGACATGTAACGTGAATGGCGTGGGTTGGATCCCTGCGTCTTATAGTTATATTTTGTTATTTTTCAAAGTAACACGCAGGTTTTATATATATTAATCAATGCCTATTTCTCAAACACTAACATGCGCCTGGTCTAGTGGCAAACAATGCAGTTTGTGATACCAGGGGGTGTGGGTCAACACCCACCCCATACAGTTTTTTTACCCTATTTTTCTAACCTAAGTTTTCTATTTTCTTTCTTAATTATTCCTTAATTATTTTTTAATTAACAATTAACTAACCTAATCTTTTTTATTAATAACTAACAAATTAGGATTAGGATTTTAATTAGTAATTAATTTTTTCTTATATTTTTTATTTACTAATTAATTAAATTGACCTTTTTTTTCTTAACATTAAAATAAATTAATATTTAGGTTTTAATTACTATTATTAACTTAATTATTTTCTATAAAAAAATCATAAAACATTTTAACATTCTTTTTCTATTTTCTTTCTTCTTGCTATTTAATTTTCATAGAAAACTGTGTATGTTGCATTCTTTAATTGTAATAGCGTAAATTTCTTTTCTCACATTTTTTTCTAATTATGTAACTGCTCACAGGATGTAATAGCGTAGATTTACTTTCTCGTGAATTTTTATACTTATGTACCTCTCCCAAAGCCATGTAATAGCTTATGACTTTATATTCCACACTTTATTTTTCTGTACATATTTAACAGCTAGTAACTAGGGTTTGCGTGACAAGACTAAAAACAATCTCGAAAACCCTAATATTCAAGATAAATAACTGAATCAATACACTTCGCACACTTTCACCTATAGGATAACCTCTCTTGTTGCCTTATGATATTGGTCATGTCCCTCGAAAGTGGGGATACTTTAGCAAAAGATCCTCGATCAAATCATCATGTCCCTTTCGAATAAAGATTATAATCCCTCGATGACCCTTCGAGCTGCCTACAAAATGATCCAGTCCCTTCGAGTTGCCTACAAAATGATGATAGTCCCTTCGATACAATCGCTAAAGTATCCTTACTTGTTGCCTTCGATGACCATACGATGGCCCTACGCATGTTCCTTCACATCCAATAAATAGGGCTACCTACCAACTAATGGTATGGATAGTACTATCTCCAAAGGAGAAGGAAAAGAATAAGAAAGACTTTAGTGGGTAAGAAACTCTTAATTGCTTGCTCACAATTTTTCTCAAAACTTTTTTTCATAATACACTTTCAAACAAATATTTTTTGTATACATTCTTGAGGATTGATACAAGAATCTTACAAAATCAGCCTTACATTAACGATTTCAAAATATTTTCAAACAAATCACACACACAAAGTAAGATTTTCAAAAGTGAGTTAAGCAATTAAGAGCCCGTAGATAGTTACAGATGAAAAAGGTGCTAACACATTCCATTTTCATAACTTACCTCCCGAACTCAAAATCTATCAAAGGTATTTCCTGTTCTTTTCACCTTTCCTAAATATTGAATAAAAGAAAAGTCGGTGGTGATTCTAACTATCTGCATATTTAGATAAAACCAAAAAGTCAATTCTCCCACCGTATTACACTATGTATATTAGATGATGCACTATTGTTCATCATCTGACCAATATATTAAATTTTTTTTTGTATTTAAGACATATTTAATCAATTTTATTTGTTTATTATCACTAAAAATACTAATTAATACATTTTTTAACTTCAATAAAATTAAAAATGTATTTGATCAAATTGAATAATATAACATAATCATTCACACAACTAATTTTTTATCTTAGAGGTCACTATCAAATTATTACCTTTATATGAAGACAAAATACTTATTTTCAAATGTCATAATTTTTTTCTTTTTCATATCACAATTTTTTTAATTATTTAATACAATTGAATTTATATGATAATTATTTATTTTACAATTATATAATTCAACCTAAACTCACATGTATATCTAAATACATCCTTTGTCAAGTTTACCATTATATTTTATATAATCATAATATTTCTTGTAATATTTTTATTTTATAATTTTTTATTGTACTTTACTAGTAAAAATGAGTGTTTTCCTTGTATATCTAAAAAAAATTATTTCTATAATATCAAAATAAATTTATTCGTGGAAGAGCACATGTTTCTGATTTTATATTAAAATTTTAAAAATTTACTTAAATATGAAACTATTTTAAATAAATTTCCTTTAAATTTTTTTTTATAAAAGTTATGTAGTTTTGACCATGTTTTAATCTTAGTCATATATATTTATCTCAATGGATATCAAGATTTAAAAAAAATCTTAAAGTTGAAACTCTTTTAAATAACTTTTCATAAAAATTATTTTAAATATATATATATTTTTAAACAATTATATAATTTTGACTATTTTTTACTTTTTAATTATATATATTCATATTAATAGATATCAAAATTAGTTTTTTAATTTATAAAAAATAAATTAAAAGCATTTATAATCTTAAAATAAAAAATATTTTAAAAAACACAAATAAAAAATTTATTTTTCAAAACTGCAACAAACAGCCCTAACTCACATTTCTTAACTATATTAATTTCAATTTCATTATTGTAAGTAAACACAAAATAAATTATGATTTTTAAAAATAAAATAAATCTTTAAATTATTGAATATTAAACTTACTTTTCTATAATGCGTAATATAGTGGCTTTTATTCTAATATATTCCGGCCATTAAATATTATTCTTTTTTATTAAAAAATAATCTTAAGTACTATTTGTTTTCTAGAAAAAGCATATTAAATATTTTTACTTCTAAATATCATTAGTTTCTATACATTGAATTTTTTTTGTGGGTATATAGAATTTTTCTATAATAGTAGTAGTATAGTATAAGTTCTGACGTACCTTTTTTTATTCATTTGGTATTTTCGAAGAATCCAAAATATCCAACTAATTGAAAATTGTTAAAATAATATCTTAACTAAAAAGGTAAAATAAAAAGAATTTAGGTTCTAGATTGTTCAATTTTTTCACATTCAGTCATGATATTATTAATTATTTCTAATATTTTTAAAATCGGACTGAAAATCAAACTCATAAAAAAATTTATTTAAAGTTTAATTAGTACAATCGATTAAAATTATAATAAAATTGTTTATTAAATAAATTAATAATATATTATTAAATTTTATAAATATGTAATATATAAATATGTAATTATATATTTACAAATTAATAAAATAAATATTTTTAAAAAACTTATTACAAATTTAATATAATAATATTAATAATATATATAATAACACAACATAGTCAACCATCATTTAAGAATAATTTAAACAAATTAAATTAATTCAAATCAAAATTAAAATAATAAAATATAATAGTTAAAATAAAGTTTAAATAATTAAAAATACATAAATTAAATAAAATAGAATAAAAACCTAAGCAATATAATATTTTGATATTGATATATTAAATTTAAAAAAAAACATTTAAAAAATAGCCAATTCGATGTATTTTTTTGAATCGTGCCATTTTATAAAATCGACTATGATTCTTTGATTCAATTGATTTTAAACCGTTCAATTTAATTTTTTCGATTTTGACCCACATACAATTTTAAAAGATTGATTCAATTGAATTCATCTCAAATTTTCCATCCAATAGATTGAACCACCGATTCAATTTGATTTTTAAAATATTAATTATTTCATTTTAATCAAAACACTAAAAAAAATTAGAATTAAATTTTATTTTTATGCATAAATATGTTATTTTAGGCATTACAAAAATCATTAACTTTTAATTTAATTTTAATATAAATAAATATAATTCTTACAAACATCATTACTATAATTTATAGTTTTACACAAACTGTAGTGAAAAGGGTAAAAAGGTAAATTACACCAAAAAACTAAAAAGTAAAATAATTAATACCAACACGGTTTCTGCCAACTAGTAGCAACAAGTCAACAGCAACTATTACGCATAAAAACAAACAACACCAACAAAAAAAAAATAAAAAAACGAAAATTCGAAGAAAATGTCGTGTAAAAAAAATTCCCAAAATTACGGAATTGCACCTTCCACCTTATATATAACCAACACGCCACTCTTTTACTTACACAATTCCAATTCCAAAAAAAACCACTTTCATTCTCTCTCTAAAACTTTCTCTCTCTAAAACTTTCTCTCTCTATAAATCTTAATGTCTTTCATCTTCTTATAACACAAACCCTTTTGTGTTCTATTCAATTCTCAATATTTTCTTTTCTCTCACCAAAACTCATTCATCTGAGAGAAAAGAAAATAGGGTTTTCCTTCAACAAAGATGGGAAAGTGGGTGGAGATTATCGACCAAGGTGCGAGGATTGTTGCGAGATCCTATTCCAACTGTCCTCAGACAGGTCGGAAGTTTTATCATCCTCCGCCTCATTCTGATATCGGCGATAATCACTCTCATGGAGGAGGAGCCGCCGTGAACGGCGGCGGCGCTGGGAAATCTGGGTTTGGTTACGGCGGAAGTAGCTTTGATGTTATTCTTTATTCTGTTTGATTATGAGAAGTTTTGTTTCCCTTACTTTCTTGATGAGTTTAATTTTAATTCTTAGTAGAAGAATTTAGGGTTTTATTTTTATTTTTAATTTTAATATAAATCTGGAATATTTTATTTATTTAATTAATTTTATGTTATTGTTTTTATTTAATGATGATTCTCTGCGCGTTCTTGTGATTTGATGCGTTTATTGGGTTTTGCGAATTGAAATGATTCATTGCGTGTTACGAGGTTTTTGGAATGTAGAGTTTTTTTAGTGTTGATTGAGTCAAATTTGAGGTGAAAAGTGAAAAAAACTCTTAATGGTTTAATTGAGGCAGAGAATATGCCAAAAAATATGCGGAGAATTGAAAAAGGTTTTTCATTGGGAATTAAAAACGTTTGGTAAAGCTAATTCAAAGGTTTTGTATTTAATAAAGCCGATTTGAATGGTGTTTCAAAAATGGGATTTTTTATTTATTTTTTATTTTTATGCTACTAGGGGGAAAGAATGGTTGAAATGTTGGTGAGGAAGAATTTACCTTCCACTCCTTAGTTGTACTTACTTCCCACCATACAAATAAGATGAAAACAAAGTTTAGTTTTTAACTCCTCTACCGATTTGAATGGGTCGAAATAAAGTGATCTCATTCCATTATTTTTGTATCTCTAATTTGTAAGAAGTCATGACCCTAGGGTAGCAATAAATCATTTATCATTGAACCAATGCTATCACTTCTATATTTTTAATTTATATGGAATGATTTTTGTATGTCTTTAATTGATAGACAAAATTGTTCTATTCTATCGTGAAATAATAAAATGATATTTTTAGATATTTGGCAACCGCGATCCTTGGTAGAAGCATGGGTAGAGGGCATGATTGGCTGAGGAAATAGTCGGCAACTTCTTTGATGATGGTGAGAGTGTTTTCACATCACTCCAATGCACAAGTGATAATTGTACAAAGAGATGAAGTTAACACATTGTCGATGAACAAATTGAAAGGAACGATTCACACTCAGAGGCAAGTTATACTTCATTTTCGAGCGTAAAACTACTAGAAAAGTTGGAAACTATTTTGGATTGGGCCTGCATTTGGCCCGAACATCATACAAGTCCTTTTGATCTCAAAAAGACCGCATCCACATCCTCCTGATAATTCTGAAAAGTCCATTCGAGTTGGGGACTACGTGTTGGCCTCCACTACACACGTAGGACTTGACAGTCTCCATTTTGGGCCTGTTTGGTCAGCTCAATAATGGGGACCTTGGTCCATCGCTGGGGACTATAAATACCCTCTCACTTGAACGGGTTAAGTATTCATTCATTCACCAATACTCTCACGCTTTACTTGCACTTTGAACCTTATTTTGGCATCAGAGTGTCTTGTAGGTACTCTTCAATTCACATTCAACCACTGCTCGACTTAAAGCTCGCAGACCTTGACAATCCTTTCTAATTAGGTATGATCAGTGACGCCGACTGTGGGAAACCAGCTTCCCCGTGTTTCACTCAAGACCAAACAACTCTTTATCAGCCTTCTGATTGTCATGGTTGACCAAGCTATCAACGATAACCAACACGTCCATTTCACTGACACCGACACAACAACGTTGTCGACAACAACGCGGGCAACAAAAACAACATGGTCGATCTCGAGCAAGGCCACAGGGACGAAATGATCGCCTCTTCATCCACCCGCTCGCAACCACGCGACGAAGACTACCATCCTCCGCAGAATTATGAGCTCAATTTGTATAAGGAGATTCCCGTTCCTAAAGGTGCTAATTACATGATCTTCTCACAGGGTGAGCGAATGATGATGCTAGAGCATACTCGTTGGGCCCCCAGAAAGCACAAGAGACCTGACTCTCGAACTCCTCCTCCTCGACGGAACGGGGACCACTCCCAATCTCCCCCGCAGAGACACAGGCGAGACGATTCTAGAAGCCCAACTCCCGTCCGCACTGGGCGAGGTCCCGCTTTGAAGAGGACCCAACCCGGAGCTGTCAAGAAACGCGGTTACACTCCCCTACGCAAACAACGTTGATCCCCTGAACATAAAAGGAACAAGGTCAATGAAGAAAAGAAGTCTCGGCCAATGGGCCTTTCTCGTGGCCAAGACTGACACAAAGAGCGCCGCTACAACCGGTCCCCCTCTCGCTCCCCAGAAAGAAGCGACAAAGACGACCCCCACGGTCCATTATCCCAAGGCATCATGGAGTCCCCCTTTCCTAAAGGGATGGAGAAGCCTCCCTTGCTGAAGGAGTACCACGACATTGTTGATCTTGTCAACCATATCAACGGGTTTTAGGCGATGCTCCACTACCATAACATTGAAGGACCAATTAAATGTAGGTTGTTCCCCATGACGCTGAGGAAAACAACTACGGATTGGTATAAGAACCTTTCCCCTGGGTCGATCACCTTCTGGAGGAGCCTCAAAAACTAATTCATCAGCAACTTCACCGCATCTCGTCGAAATCTGAAGACTGAGGCCGCCCTCGAGGCAATCGTCCAGAGAAGCGACGAGACCCTCAAAGAATACATTGATCGGTTTAACCGCGAGGCCATTCAGGTCCCATGCGCCAACCACATGAAGAGATACCTACTCGAGAGGAGACTCCTCCAGGGAACTGAATTTAGAAAGGCCTTCGATATTGAACCCCTAGGTCTTTTGATGCCCTCCTCAAAAAAGCTCGGGCATACATGGACTACGAGGAAAAATAAACAGCTAACATGCTCGCGATTCGAGGAACCGCAGACCAACTAACATCCCACGACACAATGACGACGAACAGGGGAGAAGAGAATGGAGGAGAAACCTCGCGAGCCATGTGAGCAGAGAGGATCAGTCAGGCGGTTCGCCAAGTACACCCCGTTGATCGCTTTCCACGAGCGTATCCTTGCGGAGTGCTCCAACGCCGAGTTCAAGGACGACGGGTTAAGAATTGAAAAACACAAGAGGAGGGGGGGTTGAATTGGGATCTTTAAAATCAATGCAAATGATACGATGATTTTTATCTTGGTTCGTTTGAACTCAAACTACTCCAGTCCATCCGCCAAGATGATTTCTCCTCTCCCCCAATGAGGTCTTAATTCACTAATCAAACTTGATTACAAATCTACTTTGACTACTGCAAAAGTCTTCTTGAGTATGACCACAACCCGATTTATCTCAAGGAATTGCACTAAACAAAATATGAACAAAGCAGTGTACAATATGTTTTTCGTTACAAAACAGTATCACATACTTGTGATGTATTACACAGTTTAGAGAATAGTATGAATAAGGAGTAGCAGCGTCGAAGTGTATGAAATTGTAGTGTGTAAATCATAAAGGATTTAACCTTATCCCTTGTTTAAATAGGCGCAATAATCTTGAGTAATTGGAAACTTGATAAATGTCAGTTAATGCACTTTCCTCAATTAAAAGATCCTTGTCTGTTTGTAGCCGTTGCAATTGATTCAACTTTGATGAATAGTAACGCTTCAGAACATTAAGGAATCTGTTTGGTGCTTGCTTCAGAACTTTGGAAGGGTAGAATCATAAGGTTCTGTTTGCAGTGTTAGACTTTCTTTCAGAGTTAAAACGTATTTCTCTTAGCGCAACTTCTGATCTTCATTCATCAGAACTTTCTGAGAATAGTTTACGTTCACAGCAGGAACATCCTCGTAGCTTAACTTCTGATCTACTTCCATCAGAACTTCTCTACAAAACAGAATATAATTTTAGAGTGCATATTGTTCTTTGTGTTTGTTATCATCAAAACTCTTACGAGGATTGTAGAATCAAACTATGTTCTAACAATCTCCCCCTTTTTGATGATGACAAAAACTAGGATATTTTAATTAAAATAGACAGAACATAAAGCCTTAGAAAGTCTCCCTGAGTTGAGTACTCAGATAGAGATGAATTACTTCCCTGAAGTTCATTATGATCAGAGCTTTTGATGCATCTCCTTTTGTCTTTATCAGATTTTTCTTCCTGTTTTGCTTTCAGAAAAAAATGAGAAGTTGTGATATTCAAAATGTTTGAGACTTTGTCTCGATATATTGTTATTGCAAATATCTTACGTTCTCCCCCTTTTTTGTCAGGAATCAAAAAGCAGTATAAACATTAATATTCAGAGTCAAAAAGATGAGTTATATTAAAACATAATTTCAATAACACTTTCAGAGCCAAATAAAACAAGATAAATGAATGCAGAAAACAAGTTATAAAAACTAAGATTGAGGAGGGGGAATTCGTGTGAACAACGCTTCCAGCAAGCTCTTAATCTGAGTGCTTGATTCCTTTTGTTTTCCCAGCATTTCCTTGATTTCTTTGCTCGTGTCTTCTTGCTTGTCCAATCTTTCTTTGATTACTGCATTCTCTTTATTTAACTTTTCCAGAGTTTGCATAACCAAAGATGAAGCTGGTGTATCCACAGAAGATGCAAGTTTCTCAGAACACTTTGTAGTAGTTTCTGATTCAGTGGCTTCTTCAGTTGCTTTGCCTTTGTCTTGAATAATAGCCAGAGGAAGATTTTTAGAGCATGGTTCAATAACTTATGAAGGTTGGTGCTCTTTCTAGAGAGCATTGTCCAGCAAAAGAATATATTTCCTTTCACAGTGACTCAGAACTTGATCCTTGAAAACTTTCAGCTGATCACCGAAGTTCTGTTGGGCCAGTTTATAGCTTAATTCTTTGAGTTTTTGGGATTCTGAGTTGAACCATCTTCTGAATCGATTCCAGTGAGAATCAGAAGCAGCAGGATTTGGATTTTCTAAGCTTGCTTGCTTCATAGATTTAACCCATTCCATTATTTCTGTTTCAAAAATCAATAAGTTTCTACCAACATCTGCTTTGGTGATAGTTGGTTTTGGTTTGGGAATGGCAATTTTGTCAGAGGTTAAGGCTAGGTGATCCAACGCTTCTAAGTCTATAACTGTTCTAAGGTGATCTTGTGGAGGGTTAATAGGAGAGAGAGTAGGCGAATCAGAAATGATGATTGGTGATGGAGGTGTGTTTGGTG